CGGCCATCTTGGGACGCTCGGAGGCGACGAGCCCCGCCCCGTCTTGGACCGCGGAAAAGGAGCCGCAGACGCTGAGGGCGGCACAGGAGGAGCTGGGGGTCGGGCCTACCGTAGGCACTTCCGGCCACGGGAAGACCGCGTTCCGTACGACAACATGTCGGTGCTTAGGTGAGTGTAGGCGGACACTCCGCGACTTCCGGTCCGTAGTGGGGCCTACGGTGGGAGGGGGAAGGAAGGCGGAGGGAACCATGCGAGGTTCTGAGATCAGCGAGGGTCGCCTCGAGAGACCGTTTCCGAGGTGGGGGCCGGGCCGTGAGGGGAGCCGCGGCGGGGCCTCCCTGAGGGGGAGTGGGGCGGCCGGGGGCTGAACTGGGGGAGGGGGACTTGGCGGGAAGCTCATCTGCCGGACCGGCCCGACTCGGGGCTGGCACCCGAGAGGAATCGGGTGAGCCTTATGGAGGCTCCTGGTCGGTTACTGGTCACAGAGAGCGCGGGGAAAATTAGGGTGGGGTGAGCAGGAGGGGACTTGAGGTGAAATATCTCCAACCCTGCCTTGAGGAACCCCACCGGAGGGTGAAGTAAGGTGGTTCAAGTAGGGGCGAGGAGACCGGGTTGTTGGGAAGGGACTCCTTTCTCCTCAGAGAGTCCAGGAGTTGGGGTGACCATTCCGGTTGGGGTGGGTGTGGGTTTGACGTATTTGAGGGCGGAAGGGAGCAAACACCTGAGGTGGCACTGACAGGGAGGTGTTGAGGAAATTCGGGGTACAGCGTGGAAGGCGGTGTCAAGGAAATTTGTGTAAGGAAGTGTTAAGGAAATTTGGGGTACAGTGTGGAAGGCAGTGTCAAGGAAATTTGTGTAAGGAAGTGTTAAGGAAATTTGGGGTACAGTGTGAAGTGTTAAGGAAATTTGGGGTACAGTGTGGAAGGTGGTCTTGGGGTTCTACTGTGAGAAATAATAGGGAAGTGCTCCAGAAAGACCAGAAATGGACGTCAAGGATGGGGCTGGGGGGGTGGAGGTTTGAGGTTGGGGGGTGGCTTGCCTGCCCCCCTCCACTCCAAGGGCTGAAAAAGGTATATACACTAATGGTTGCTGAAGGTAGGCAGCGAGGGCACTGTTGGGCAGGACTGGGTGTTACTGAAACCCAAGGAGATTGGAAAATGTGTGAGATTGGAAAATGGGGCTGTGCTGGAGGGGCTCTTTCTGAGACCCCCATCCCCTTCCAG